GGGGGTTCACCTTTCAATCTGTTGGTTGTCCTGAATGATCCAGTTATGTGCCTCTGAAGAATGTAATGAATCTCCTTGATGAGCTTTATGTGTAGTAGGTAATTTTCAAGTGAATGGATTCATGATTTCAACCGAAGGAACCCCATGTTTAGTCTGGGCTGAAAGTTCAAAGCTATTGTCATGCACCATAGCTTCTGGTCCTTGAGGATGATCATCTATTGGATCTGAGAGACCTTTAAGCTACTAGGGCCCTCCTATCATGGATTGCAGGTATATCCTCGTTCACTCTCACTAATGAAATTCTACATGCTATTTTGTTGTTATTATTTATTTCCAATTTGGATGATCTTGAATACCAGTGTTTATTACATGATGTCATAGTTCACGTACAGAAGGAAAGTTTCTGTTAACTATTTTCATGATAATGTGCCATGTTGCGGTTGCATATGTAATCTATTGGAGTGTTGGGATCTCAAAAGAAAAAAAAACACAAATGATGAATGCTACCACTCATTCTGTTGGTAGTGCTGTCTTCCAAAAGTTATTCCACCCCCCGCCCCCTTCTCTCGTTGCAAAATTCCAGGCTCTCTTTATTCAGATACCAAATCAGCCCCCCACAATATCCCACCGTGTATTGGAAACATCTCCCGATGATAATCCCAGAAATAATGATGTCATCATCGGGAGATGCTCTCAATACACGGCGGAGATGTGCTGTGGGGGGCAATCTCATGGGGGGCTGATTTGAACTCAGCTGGAGACAAAATCACCAGTTGAACTACCTATCACGGGTGAACACGCCAGTGCTCACTGTGGACCCATCTGAGACCCAGCTGTGCTCAACACTCGCGTGTTCAACCGTGATAGGCAAGGTTTTAAATTTCGTAATGTATCGGCCGATACGTATCGTTTCGGAAGAGTTCCGATACATGGAATATGTCTAATTAAATGGTTTCGTATTTTTTCGTCCGTATCTAACCGATACAGGTCCGTACCGGCTTTGTATCGGTCCGTTTCGGGTATATATCGGCACGTTTCGGACGATACATACCCGAAACGGACCGATATGCATTATGTATCAGCTGAATTTAACTTCCCTCTCCTTTTTAAATTTAAATTTAATTTATATCTTCTCTCATTAATATCATTTTTAATTAAGCCTTAAAGTTTGAGACCACTAAATGCTAATATAATTTAATTAAATGCTCATTTAAGTTACCTTTAATTATAGCATTTAATATGTCATTAAATGTTATTTAAGTTAAATAACTTGTTAAAAATCACAAACCAAAGGTAAGAAGTTTTGAACCCAAGTCATTTGTTTGCAACACTAATTAATTAACCATTATGCCAACCTCAATTACTTATTAAAACATGTCTTTTTATACTTAAATGGACCTTTCTTGCCTTGGTGGATGTTTCACAACAAATGCTATAAATTTGATTATTAATATTTATATAATAATAAGATGGATACAAGTTAAATTTATTTATTAAAAATTAAGGAATATATTAACTTGTATACATAATAAATGTCATCTAAATCTATATATAATAAATATTAACTAATAAATGATTTCAAAAAAATATTAGTATATATACACATACATTTTAGTTCTATTATTTTTTAATGGTTTCTAATTATATCCTAATATTTCATATAAATCATTAAAGAATGATTTTTTATGTTTAAATAAATTAGTTATAATCACATAAAACACATTTTTATTATTGTTCATATGTTTTGGATTTTTTAGTGTATTTATGCGTATCTTGATTTTTCATCTATATCTATACGTTTCCAAAGCGTATCTTGATACGTCTCTTAAAATTACCTTTCCGATACAATTTGCATTTCCGATACTTTCAACCTTGGTGATAGGTAGTTCAGCCGGGTGTGTGTTTTTGTGTTCAGTTCAGCTAATCTGCTTCCCTCCTTATTAAGGGGGTGTTTGCCAATGTGCATGATTTTATTTTTAGAACAAAAACAGATGCCACATCAGCTCATGACACCCCTAAGCTGGTCCATATTTTGTGTTAACCAACTAATCTGAGCCAATGAATCAATGTGATTAGTTTATATTAGACTGAAGGTATATACTTTAAATATATATATTAGTTTGAACTTTGAAGGCAAAGACGTCTAGCCGGTGATATTATTTGGGTTCTCACCGATACTATGGCACCTAAAAAAAGTCCATATTCAATGGTTTGACACTGGACCTTGGATTTGGGCATTTAGTTTTAAATCCTAGCTTTAGCTACAAGCCTACAAGCACAATAGGTTGTAGGTGTAGACAATACGTCGGGCACTCGAGATTGTTGATGGAAAGAAAGCACAGCATTGCTGTGGTGTGGGTTCAATTACCGTATTTGTGCTGGGCTAGGCCTAGGCCCAGGCCCAGGCCTAGGAGCACTTGAATCACTGTCGCAAGGGGGTATGGGTGGTGTGTGCATTGTTTGTTCTTCCTGCAATAAAATCACCTTGATGTTCTCGAATTAAAGTTTCCACTTCCACCCCAAGCTGCATTATCTCTATTCGATCCATCAACGTTAACTTTGATGATACAGATGTGATGGGTTACTGAATATGCCGGGCATGTTATTTGATCTCTCTCACTTCTCAGCACCTGGGTCTGTTGAAGAGATTTGGGGTTGGGGCAGCACGGATAACTGAGTGAGGATTAAAGATTTTCCTCTCAAAGACGACTCTCTATTTCTTTCTTACCAAATGTTTCATGACATTACAGAGCTCTTAGAAATCAATGTGTTGGCCATCTACATGTGGCAGCATGAGAACGCTCTAATATTATGTCATATGCTCTTAAAATGCAACTGCTTCATTAAACACTTTACATGGAGGAAGATTCTCGGTTGGATCCCTTTTTAGGCTCCACAACTTTTCACGTGTAATTCCAGGCCAAAGGGAGATCGGCTTCTATCAGGACAAAGCTGTGCCTACACCGTTCTAACAGCATTTTTCATCCTTGCATTGGGAATATCTCCCCATGAAATAAAGAACACAATTACGGAGATATTCTCAATGCGCTGAACTCGGCCAAAGATGAAGAACTAGGCCGAGAGCAGACAATCAACTTATACCCCGAATTACAGGTGAAATCACCATGAAGGGTTGGCATGCAATTCGATTTATCTGAGTTGTTTCCCAAATCGATCTCAATTCTTGTAATACTCGTGAAACCATTTTATGACCACTAACCCACCATCCACGTGGTAAATCTTGATGGAAGACCAAGGTTGTATTTGCTACCATTGCCATTTCAGGAGAAGCAATGACATTTCATGTGCTCTGTAATGTGGAAGCCATTTCGGCATAAGTACCAATAAAAGATGTGTTTTTCATGCAGTATTTTGTTTGGTATTGGAATTGTTACCTATAATGTTTTATATTTAATGTGATAGTTGCACCACCTTACTAAACTCATCTTCATCCAATGGTCATATGGGCCTTGATTCCGGGCCTATGGGATCAAATGATAAAAAAAAAAGTAATTTAAATATTCATATTTTACAATTTACACTAAGGATGCATTTATGGACCTCGGCTACACCAAGCTTGGCTTGACTTTGAGCCAATGGCAAACTTTATGGGCCTCAACATGGTTGTCCGCCTACCAATACTTGAACAATGTGGGACAAGGAACAGTGACCTAAGTATTAGAGTGAAGGCCTTGCCTTCCTCTATGGCTCTATAAAAGGCTAAGCAACTCTAGAGAATAAGCCGTTCTCTCTTACATGATTGATTCGAGTGTTGATTCAATGATTTGTCAAATTTGATAGATGTTATACTTATACAATAGGGTAAATTACAGATAGGTACCCTGAACTTTCAATTGTAACACTTAAGTATCTTAAACTCTCAAAAATAGACACTTGGGTCCATCCGTTAATATTCTTTCAGTTAACGTTATATAATACCAAAAATATCATTCTCGTGTATTTTTAAATCATTTTGTGGTGTAAAATCATCAGCAGAGAATGCCATCGTCGGAAATTTTGAATGTATTATTTATTGTCCATGCGAGAACGTCATCGTGGGAAACATTCGGTTACCTGAGAGGGGTATTTTTAGTATTATGTAATGTTTAATTGACGGAATACTAACAGATGGACCCAAGTGTCTATTTTTGAGAGTTCAGGATATTAAAGTGTTGCAATTGAAAGTACAGGGTACCTATTTGTACTACCCTATGCAATATTATAGAATATATTAAAATATCTTGCAGGCTGGGCTGGGCCAGGCCAGGATTGAAGCTTTTGGGCCTAAGCCCAGCCCCAAAATTTCTGGGCCTGATGCAAGTCAAGACCAGGCCAGGCCTGAACACAAAATCCTAGGCCTAAGCCCAGAAACTTCTAGGTTGGCTTGGGCCAAGATGAAAATGATCAAACCTAGATCTAATACTTCTAGAAGCAAATAAAAAAAAAGGGTTTCTTGCAGATAAGGGCAACTTTTTGCCCTTAATATCAATAAAAAGTAATATTTTTATATAATAACTAAAATAGAGTAAATTTTTTGAAAAAATATCAAGAAAGGGCACTGTTGTTCATCTTCCTCCTTTGCTCTCTATTCATGCGAATGATCCTAACATTCCAACACTCCACCCCTTTGAACCCATCGTAGCCCTCCAATATCGCCTTCATGAATGACATGAACGGCATAGATACCTCGACATGGCCTTCTGCATTAGCTTGTTCATCTTTGGCTTGTCTCCGTAGTACGAGTACATTGGCTCACTGTTTGCCTTCACGAACAGCTCCTCTTTTGGGTCCACCACCGCCTCGTGCAGGA